GAAACTAAAACTATTTCTGAATTTAATTCACGGTTGTGTGATATAGCTAATGAATCCTTTGCTCTTGGTGAAAAAATTCCTGAGGCAAAACTTGTCAGCAAGACGTTGAGATCATTACCACAGAGATTTGCCTACAAAGTCACTGCCATTGAAGAGGTGAAAGACACTGAAACTATGAGACTTGATGAATTGATGGGATCACTGAGGACATTTGAAATGAATCTGAGTCAAAATAAGACGGAGACATAGATTTCTCAGGGGATTGCTTTCTAAGCCGAAGTGGAAGATAATGTTGAAGAAGAAGATAAAGACTTAATGGAGTCTTTTACTCGATTGACTAAAAATTTTAGAAGGGTGATGAAGAAGTTCAACGAGAAGAACCAAACTCCAACTTTCAACAACTCCAACAATTTTCAGAAATATAAGGGAGCTACAAATTCCTCCAATGATAAGAAGAGGAATATGAGAATTCAATGCCGGGAGTGCGACAGTTACAGTCATATTCAGTCTGAGTGTGCTAACACTCTCAAAAAGATGAAGAAGTCTCTCAACGTCACATGGAGTGATGAGGATTTTAAAGGTAACCAGGAAGATGATGATCATGTGAACAACTATGTTGCGTTTAATGTCTACTAAGATGTTCCAAACTGCAGTGTTACAAATCGTGTCACAGTTCATGTTGCAACATCATCTGCAACACACTCTGGAAAACCAGATGAAAACGGAGGTTTTTCAGATTCTAACGGTTCCAGCAATGGTGAAGAACTGACTGAGGAGACAATCCAGGAGGCATATGAAACCATGTTCAACAAATGGATTTTGGTGGTTAAAATGAATAAGTCTTTACGGGAATGAGTCGATGAGCTTATTAAAGAGAATGATGTACTTAAGAGGGCTACTATAAACTATGAATTTTGGGCTGTTGAAAAGGAGAAAAAGCTGCAGGAGACAAGAGGTGAATTGGAGCACACTCAAAAGTCATTGAAGATGATGAATTCGGGCACCTCAAAATTGGATCACATTCTCTCAATAGTGAAAGCGAGTGGTGATCGACATGGCCTTGGCTATATTGGTGAGAGCTCAATGTCCAAAATAGTGTTTGTGAAGAAGACGCCTGCCCCTAAGCCTCCGACTTCCTCCAGTAAGAAGGTTCCCTTCGACATAGAAGGTTTGTCCCTACATGTCATTACTGCGGTATACCTGGCCACATAAGACCGAGATGCTACAAGTATTTAAATGCTTTGAAGAGAGGTATGCTCATTAATCCACCAAATTTTACAAACTCAAAAAGGACACCTAACGTGAAGATTAATGTGGGAAATAATTTGTCTAGATATGTGTGGGTAAGAAAATCTGATTTGAGGTGTCATAAGACTTCTACTTCTTTAGAAACATGTACTAATGATCATGGATGTAGTGATGGAGGTTGCACTAAGACAGGTGTTAAAAGCATTATATATGGAAGAATGCTACATTCAGGGGGAGTAAGCTACAGAGATCAATGCCCTCGAAGATATCTAATGCGAAGTGTTGCACTAAGTGTTCCAACAAATGTTACAACATGATCTGCGACATCAGCTGCTGAAGACGGTTCTAGGGTGTGAATTTTTTATTTTTTATTTTTTTTTCTCGTTGTGTCTTTGGCTTATTTTTGTCAAAAAGGGGGAGAACAATGTACTTCTTTACGTTTTTGAATTTTTAGGATCTTTTGTTAGTTTTGCCAAAAAAGGCCAAAGGGGGGGATTGTTAGGTATTTTTATTAGTTGGCAATTTATTGGCAATCGTGTAAAAATTCAAAAAATAGGTTTAAGAAGATTTCGTATTGCAGAAGAAGATTCAGAATCGGATTTGAAGTTAAAGTTACAGATTTTGTTGCGCTGAGTTTTGAAGAGATAAGGATAAAGGCTTGGTCAAAGGAAGATAAGATATTGGTTGAGATTTGGAGAGATAAAGAGATAATACCCTGGTCAAAGGAAGATAAGGCATTGGTTATTTGAATTTAAATGAGATTCTAGAAAGAAATAATGTGGAGATTAAGTTGCTATTTTAAAGGAGTAATTCGGATTTGAAAAGTAGATGTATAATCCGAATATGCATTGGTTTGTTTCAATTTGGTAACTACGAGATACACTTCAAAGGCATCATCTTTGGATATATATATATATATATATATATATATATTTGTGCGTGAATGTTTTTGATGGGCATTGACGTGGAGATGGCTAAGAGTATATAAATGTCAAAAAGATGATGATGAAGTCAACGTGAAGATGAAGATGTTGGTATATATAATATTTGAATCGGATTTGGATAAAGGGTGTATAATCCGGATTCAAAAGGAGATTTAGTTTTTAGTTTGAATTTAAAAAAATGCTCGACGTGGAGAGAACATGGAGGAAGCTTTATTTAAGGTTTCATTGCAACTGACAATGGTAGAGAGATTTTATAGAATATTTTTAGAAAAGAGTGTGAGTTTTTTGCGAGCCTTGTGCGTTATTGAAATCGTCATTTAGGTGAGGGATTTGTTGCTTTCGGGAGGAAGCTTTGTCGGTCGAAAGGAGTTCGCTGTGCTGTTTAGAAGACGTGTGGTGCACGCTAAACAGAGTCATTGTGCGATTTCATCACAGCGGCGTCATAGTCTAGGAGGGAGTCCTTGAGTGAATAAGTCCGTCAGTGTTGTAATTCTTGAAGTATAGTGAAACTGTTTATTGTCTGGGCGTGGCCCCGCAGAGTAGGTGTGTGCACCAAACTGTGATACCATATTGTGTGTTCTTTTGATTTCTGCACTTTATTCTACTCGAACAATTTGAACAGTAAGAAATCCGGATATTAATTAATTAAGTCATCTTTCAGATAATGTTTCAACATCATCTGGAACATCAGACGTAACATCAGATCTAACAATATTTGTATATCGGATAAAATGAACAATTGTGTCAAGTATAGTATTTTAACTTTTTCACACTAAACTGATTAATATTATTTATGTTTGCATCAGAGATGATCCTGCATTATCAGAATCAGAGAGAGAGAGAGAGCTTTAATTAGAAAAAAAAAATAGGAAAAAAAGAACTTGTCCTCGCATCTCAACCTCTGTTTTCAAAATCATAACAACGAGAAAAGGAAGAAGGGTTGTTGAAATAGTGACAACTCCACAGGAGAAAGCTGGCACGAATGTGAAATATATTATACAACTTTCCGTTTCTAGAAGAATTCACATTTTCTTTAAAAGATTATTTATTTATTTTATTTATTTTTGCTTCAAAGGATTTATAAATTAATGCAAATAAAGACGTAACTGGCAAAGTGCGCCCTTTCAGCATAACACAACATTGATTCTGCTTAAGGGTCAAATTTCTTATATGGCTAATTGTTATTATAAAAAATATTACACCTGTACCTGATCAGGTATTAGTGTTTACGTCTTGTGGAGTAGTGGTATCCTATTTTCCTTCCAAATAAAACCTCAATTAATTAAACGCCTAAAGGCTTGTTTCGCATTGCTTTCGCTTTTGTTTTTAACCAGTAAAAGAAGATAATTAAAAACTGTACTTTTTAGTAAGTGTTTGAAACAAGAAACTTAATGAGTCAAAATGATTTTTAAATTTTTTAATAAGTAATGAAAGTTCTAGAATTAAGTTTATAATACCTTAATTAAACTATTATACAAGTTTTAAAGTCTATTCATAAGTGTTTTTTTTTTTTTAAATCGTAATTTCTGACTTTGACTGGAAGCTATTCTAAAAAATCAAAACACTTCTGACAGATCATTTAAACACGTTCAGAAGAAGCAGCTTTTAGACCTAAAAAAATAGCTTTTAAAAAGTTGTTCCAAACAAGCCCTAAATATGAAAAGCCCAACTTAATTTGTGAAAATCTCTAGTCAATCCTAATAGTAAATAAGAAATATTCATAATAAAGATTACCCACACTAGCTAATATTATATTTTAAAATAACAAATTGAATCCTCACAACCATATTACAGAACAATAATTAAATGACGGCGGCAATATATAAATTACAGAACAATAATTGTATGCGTATGTCCACTAGAATTCGAATACTGATAGTTCATTTCATATCATCAATACTTCTTGTTCGGAAAAACAAGTACGACAATATATATACGTACCTTTACTCGGGTAGATGTACGCATCTTTATAATTTTGATCAAACCTTCTTGTTGTATATCTCAGTCATGATCCTATATTAAGAAGATTTCTTAATTAATTTAGACGATAAGGCCAAGTAGTACATAGCTAAATAAGATTGTTAATTACCTCATAAGTCATAAACAAGACGACGGCATGGAAATTCTGCAGGGATCTTACCTAAGCTAAGTGCATATCTCACTATCGCAGTCATTTAAAAACGACAACTCTTTGTAATTGTGCACGTTCTTTGCTGTTGTACAAGCTGTTCCAATTATAATAGTCTTAAAATCTACCTACACCTCTTTCTTAAATATGGGTGGCTTCATTCGGTAAGCTACTAACCGTGCGCACTATATATAATTATAAATTCTCCACAGGCCGAAATACCTAATAAATAATCAAATTAACCTCAGTAAATCACATAAGACTCCTTATATGTTGAGCGTGCGGAGTTTAACTAATTATTGTTAAGACGCATGCAGTGTTAACACAAATTAACCCCTTTTTTTATTATTATTATAGTGTAATCCTACAACGATATATAACTCTTAGTTAATCACTATAAATCTTGTTTGTTGCTTGATTTCTTTTTCTTTATTTTGTTGTTCTGGTTGTTAGTGACGAATTAGGGCTTTAATCTGTGATACAACAACTTTAGCGGAATTTTTATTTTGGACTGTATCACGTGCGTCAAGCGTGACCTTTATGTTGCAATAAAGATTGATACAGAAAGTTGCGAGCAAATCAGTTGGGCGTTGAAGGCCATAAGCAACTTCACATGTACTCTAATCTCTTCCCTATAAGTGTTGCCCGTTTCAGTCATATTCTTGATCCCAGCTCAAAAACAAAACCCACTTCTCTCTCTCTCTCTCTCTCTCTCTCTAGAATACAATGGAGCTTCTCGTTCTTCTCTACGGCCTCTCCATAATCTACTTCCTCTTCACGATCTGGAAACGCTTCGACGAGAAGAGAGACCAGGAATGTTACATTCTAGACTACCAGTGCTACAAGCCCACCGACGATCGGATGCTCGACACCGAATTCTCCGGCGAGGTCATAAAGCGGACGAAAAACCTCGGCCTTAATGAGTACAAGTTCCTCCTCAAGGCCATCGTCAGCGCCGGCATCGGAGAACAGACCTACGCGCCGAGAATCATGTTCGCCGGAAGGGAGGAATCTCCGACCCTCATCGACTCCATCTCGGAGATGGAGGAATTCTTCTTCGACAGTGTCGGGAAACTCCTCGACCGGTCGGGGCTTTCCCCGTCGCAAATTGACGTCCTCGTCGTCAATGTCTCTATGCTCTCCGTCGTCCCGTCGCTCGCCGCCAGGATCATAAACCGCTACAAGATGAGGGAGGACGTCAAGGTGTATAACCTCACCGGAATGGGCTGCAGCGCAAGCCTGATTTCCGTCGACATTGTCCGTCACGTTTTCAAATCCCACCGGAATCTTAACGCCCTCGTCGTGACATCGGAATCGCTGAGTCCGAACTGGTACTCCGGCAACGACAGATCAATGATTCTCTCCAACTGTCTGTTCCGCTCCGGAGGCTGCGCTATTCTGCTGACGAACAAGCGGTCTTTGAAGGACCGAGCAATGCTGAGGCTGAAGTGTCTCGTCCGGACCCACCACGGAGCGAAAGACGACTCGTACGGATGCTGTATCCAGAGAGAAGACGACCAAGGACTCCTCGGATTCCACCTCGCGAAGAATCTCCCCAAAGCCGCAACGAGAGCTTTCGTCGACAACCTCCGCGTAATCGCGCCCAAAATTCTCCCACTCCGGGAGCTTCTCAGGTTCATGGCGGTCTGGATTCACTGGAAAATCTCGAAATTAAGCTCCTCCTCAAAAAATTCCTCCATGAAAGGAGGACTCAAAGAGAAGCCTCCGCTGATCAACTTCAAAACAGGGGTGGATCATTTCTGCATCCACACGGGAGGAAAAGCAGTGATCGACGGAATCGGAGTGAACCTGAATCTGAGCGAGTACGATCTGGAGCCGGCGAGGATGACGCTCCACCGGTTCGGGAACACGTCGGCGAGCAGTCTGTGGTATGTGTTGGGGTACATGGAGGCCAAGAGGAGGCTGAAGAAAGGCGACACAATTTTCATGATAAGCTTCGGAGCTGGGTTCAAGTGCAACAGCTGCTTGTGGGAGGTCGTCAGAGACTTAAAGGCCGACGGGAATGTCTGGAACGACGACGTCGAGCATTATCCGCCGGAGAAGCTCACGAATCCGTTTATGGAGAAGTATGGATGGATTCAGGATGAGGATCTGAGTACGTTCAAGTTACCAGAGTGAAGTTAACAGAGAATAAGAGAAAATTACGAAAGATAAAAAAACAAGACACAGGTCAAAGAATTTTTAATTGTTCGTGTTTTTTTTTTCTTTTTCTTTTTTCCTGATTAGTATTTTTTGACAAATTTGTTTTGGAAAGAAAAAAAAAATTGGAAAAAAAGTGTCTAGTGCTTTTGATTATTACTGTTAATTGTTTTCTTTTTTCTTCTACTTCGTCTGTACACTATTATTATAAGGTTGTCTTATTATTGTTGAATCCCTTTGGTGGATTTCATAGCTCAATAAGGTTCTTATTGTTTTTGTTCAACATGATTCTTTTTTTTTTTTTTTTTTACCTTTCAGATTGGAAAATTGTATTTTTTTTTTCCTTTGTTTTCGGAAAGGAAACATAGGAAGCCTATTTCATCTTTGCTTTTTTGTTTTTTGTTTTGCTATGAATAATATTTATTATTTATTGCTCTTTTTTTTTTCAATTAAAATCTATTAGTGAAAATGTGAGACATACCCCCGACCCAGAAACAAAAGGTGGTCCCTCCACGATACACATTTGTTAACCCCAGCTGTTCTCATTGTGGTTATGCTTATATGTATAGCTATGCAAAATAAATTGCACGGCCAAATTCCAGCAAGCCAGTGAGGTGATTATAATTATAATGTGTTGATCAGTTCTTGAAAGAATGGCAAAATTGAAACGAGATATAAATATATATGTATTAATATGGGTGTGTGTGTGTGTGTGTGTATATATATATATATATATATATATATATATGCATATGCTGGAAGGATAAGTACTATAACCTAAAAAGTGGGCTTGCTCTTCCCAAAACCTGAGTTGTTAATGTTAAATGCCAATATTGTTTGGTACCGAAATATTAAGAGCACTGAATGCTACCAGTTGTCCGGTCCAATTGCTGGACAGGTACGCTTCCTTTTAATTATGATGATATATATGATCATTTTTTCTATCTCCCACTATTTATCTATTGCGCTTTCTCGGTTTTTTTTTTAAAAAAAATTAGTGGAAAATTAAGGTATTTGCATGCATAATAATTCTTAAGAGTCTCTATAGATGTCTCCTATATAAGAGGTTTAGTCTCTATCGATTGAGTTAATTCATTGACTGTTTGGTCTTTTTAACGAACTTTAATCATGCTTGATTTTTATGTGTTGATTGGGCTTTTCTCCTTTAAGTATTAACATTAGTATTCACCATTGTGCTATCAATGTTTTTACCGGTAGATTCAGTCGTAGGGGTCAAATTTCAGTGTATTCGGAGTCATGTATGTCTTTATATCGAGTCTGTATTTCATTCATTTTGGTAATGAAATTTCCTTTTATCAAAAAAAAAAAAAAAGAGTCACAAAATCATAATTAAACATTTTTTTTTTCAGAAAAAATAACCTAATTAAACAGAGACCTACTTAGTGTCATTGAATGATCATATAGACTATATATTTAATTTTTGCATGGATTCTACCTTAGTTTTCTAGACTAGATTTAACGCAAAGAGACTTTACTAATTCACCTTATGATTTTGTTTATACTTTTTCTAACGTCTTATATTATGTGACAACTCAATATGACTACTGTATATAACAAGTAAGCTATGAAAATAACACATGCATATCAGTATTAATTGGTTAACCTTTTCTTAAGGCCTGAAGAACATATGGCTACTATTATAGTACTCTCGACGGGTTAATTGATTCACATCATTTTATAATATAGGAAAGATATAATTTTTTTTAAATATAGGAAAGATATATTTCAATTTGCTATTTTCATTGTTATATATATATATATATTTTTTTTTTTTTTTTTTTGCTAATTCACTGTTATAGATTTAATAAAACTAAAACTGGACTAATCTTGCGAAAAGAGAAATTTACCTTCATGTATGAAATACAACTTTAGTAACTTGATCATTTTACAATATGGTCGTTGCAAAAATTCATTGGCATATATGGTAATTATGAGGTATTGCATATACACACAACTGCACGTTTGATTAAGAAGTACTTCTATGTTTCATTATATTCGGCATACGAACATATTCAAAAGAATCCCTTTCGGAATTACTTCACAACTATCCATGTAGAATATATATATATATATATATATATATATATAACAGGTTTTGATACCTATCTCATGAATGAGAATGAGGCAAATGGTTGATATTACATATTTCAGATCGTTTTATGATATGCCTCCACTGTACCCACATCGGTTCACAAATACATCATAGTTTTTACATCTTAATTCAACTATTAAAGTTCGCGAGTATATCTTTTAAATGTGTAAGTTATTATGTTTCTTTTAAAATTTATAAGTCTATCATAATTTATACAACTCTAACACTGAAAATTTATAAAATTCTAACATAAATTACACAAATTATCGCATTCTCAACACTAATACCGCGAATTCTTCTCCAGAAGCATAAAATTTTCCCTAAAAAAAATTTGTCTGAAGTGAAGTGGATAATATTCAAAGTGTACTTATTTACCAACAACTTTTCTTTTTTTTTTTCTGATTAAAGAAATAAATGTGCCAGTGCATATGAACATGTGGAAGAACCAATTTGATGGGCCCAAAAGTTCCCCGCGGCAGTTCAGCTTGAGAAATTCAGACTTAAAGAGATTAACCAGTCACCGCGTTGCCTCAAAACTAGAGATCATGATGAGATCATATTATATATTCATGGCTCTCAACAGGCATTGACATTCCATTATTCTTCCCCACTGCCCAATATATTAAAGCCAAAAATTCCATCCATTTACGCAGTCGCCCACGGTAATTAAACTGACGAGTCCTTGTCGTGGCTTCTTAAAGCGACATATTTATACATAAATATCAAGTCATGAGTCATTGTGTGTGTGGTCTACGTACAGACTTTTTATACGTACAGTGTACAAACATACGCATACATGCATGCATATATTTTAATTTTTTGTATGTAGAAGGTGTTGACTCTTAAATTCCTTTCTTCTTCTTTTTGTCCTGCAACTTGTGGTGGCCAATTTTTATACGTAAATATAATGCCATGTGACTTTTTGTTTGTGTAGTGTGTGGTCTATAGAGACTTAATTTTTATACGTACAAGGATACGCAAATATGTTAATGTACATGCATGTGTATTTTTGTATGCATGCATGTATATAGCTGGTGTTAATAACTAGAACGTCTTGATCAGCTGTTAATTTTCCTTTTCTTTCCTTTATAGGTTATATATACTGGACTCGTGAATTTTAACACATTTTAGATTGGGAAAACTGTATAAAAAAACCTCTCATTTTGACTTATAAATAATACAAAACATCAAACTCTCTTAGAAATAACAGATAACACCTTTAAAATAATTTTCCTCGAATTTGAGAAAGCATTTTTAAGATTTTCCGCATTAATTAGATATACTATATATATAGAGAGAGTAGATATATGTTTAGCAACATTTCGCTACCATATATATTTCACCAGTGGAAGAAATAATCTTTAACCTAATGCGTTGTTGTTGTTGTTGTTATAGTACGGTAAGACACAGTATTATTGTATTGGATTGCAGTGACATGAAAATAAGATTGGTGTAATAGGGATATTCTTCCTCAAATGGGCTTGTCAAATAATTTGCTTTTTCATCCCACGATATATGTTATTTTAAAAGGGAACTCTAAACATATGGCACTATGCTATATATATATATATATATATACAATTATTTCTAATTTCTATATGATGTTTCATTAATGGTGACAAATAATTAAATAATTTAATGGATGATTTAGGTTTAGCTATGTATGTGTTGAAACAAGTATCATATATTCATTCGATCTGAAAGTTAGGCAATAAGCTTTGTCAAAAGACAAATTCTACTGGAAAGGAGTTAAATGACTTTTTACAACCTTTACTCCAACTAATAAAGAGAGGACAAAGAAAAAAGGAAAGAAATTTCCAAAAGCTTTTTCCTGTAAATACAAAACCAGGATCAGTTGCCACACAAATTCTCCGATACAGAAACCACCTACAATGCAATAAATGTGCAGTCCAACTTGGGAGCTATTATTGGCCAAATTGTAGTATGGAGTAAACACAAAATAAATAAATAAATAAATATTTAGGCATAAATTTTAAACAAAAATAAATAAAAAAACCAGTAAAAAAATAAAAATCGTTTCTGAAAGAGATCTCCTTCCGAATCAGAATGATCTTTGTGAGATATGGGCTCTGAATAATATATAGAAGCGGTAGGTAATCAAGAAAACTTCAAAATATATATGATCTTCTCTAAAAATTTCTTTAATATACAATTTTTTTGTCTAAATTTATTTATTTAAAACGAGTCGGTCTCATATTTTGTATTTAGTCAAAAGTTGGTCGATAGTACTTGAGAATTTTTCGAGAAAAAATGTTTATCATCATTACGACATTATACATATTGTTTTTAACTGATCATTATACACACACACATATACATATACATATATATATATATATATATCTCAATAAAAAAGGTGTTTTTCAATGATGTTAATGATGATGATAATAATAATAAATCGTAAACTTATTGAACATGAAAGGGGCCATATGTGTGGGATAATGGTCATTTATATATGCGCACATGCATGCACTGAATAGTCCGTGGAAAAGTACCGTAATCTGTTTCTGTAGCTAAAGTTGACCAGGAAAAAGATTAGCTGCTTCTCTCTGGCACATAGGTTTCAACTTGATCATGAAACACAATCAGCGTGATACAAATTATAAAACACAATATTCAAACTAGTAGTCATGAATTTTGTGTTTCTTTTTTTTTTTTTTTTTTTTTGGAGAATCATGAATCTTGAGCTTTCAATGTAGGATGGAATAAATTTAGAATTTATCTGTGAAAGCTCTTTTGATGAATGCACAGAAAAAAAAATTTTAATTTTTATTTTATCACAATGTACAGAAACTATAAATATATTTAAATATGCTGTAATTTTTGTGTTTTTTTTTTTCGGCGTATATTGCTTTTTGTTCACACGGCACTCGTGAAAAACTGCTGAGAGTAAATGCTTAAATATTTGAAAGCTTTATTGTTATGCTTTTGTTTTTGGTATACGTGACGCACAACTACTCATAAACACAATATCTAACTTTAAGATTTCGTTCATCTCACTGATTCGAGTTTTCATTTTTAATTTTATTACAGTTAAAAGTTTTCACAAAAAATCACATATAACTTTTTTCTGCTACAGTAAAAAGTTCTCACATAAAATCAAATCTGAACTCAAATTGAAAACTCGAATGGACGAGACCTAAAGAGGTTTTCTATTGTGTTCTGATGTTGCCGATTACCGTTTTGTTTTTGTTTTTGCCATTTTATTGTATTTTTTTCTTTTGCTTTTTTTTTTCAGGTTCAATTAATTTGACAGTTTTGGTTAATCAATAAAAAGTTTTAGAACTTAGTCCCCCGTAAATTTTAGAATTAAGGTACAATAAGCAAAATCATAAATTTATGTCACGTAGGTTAATATATTAAAGTCTATTTACGTTGCCTCAGTCAAATATGTTTATATATTAAGTGATACTGCTATTTTAGTGGGCAAGTCATGTGTTCTTTAGGTTGGTTTTTGAAAATGATTTTTTATGCAGAAATGTGTATCTAGTAAATCGTGAATAATAAAAAATTTTACAAACTTTTGAGATATTCTATAGATTACATTAATTTATGTATAAATAAATTAATCAAATTAATTTATTTACCTAGCGAACGATTAAGTCGGTAACTTGAGTTTTTTGACAACGAACGTTCCTTGCTCCAAACTTGTTTAGAATATCCGAATCTTCCTCGTCAATTCTTTGAATCTACGAAGACGTGTGTGTGAGCACACCTGAAACAAATGGAATTAGCAAGAAAACACTCAAGTTTTCCACGAACACCAACACATGCATGGCGTGACATTTTGGGAGAAAATTTTTCTTTTCTCACTCTATAAAACATGCCACACTATTCTAGGGAGAGCAAAAATTGTCTTTTCTAATTTCTTGCAATCTCCTTTTTATAGAGTAGTAGTCAGACTCTCAAATGAAGTACTCTAAACTTAATCTCCAAGATAAAGCTTGATAATTATCTCTCACTTCTAATTGATTTTGAAAACAAAATTTCATCTCTCCCTTATCCCATAGGGCCATCCACCACAGGGATATTCCTCCCTGTGGTAGGCACAAACAACAGATATGAAAGGAGAAAAAATTCTCTTTTATCCTGTAGTCCAATTTTGACTCAAATTCAAATTTCAATTTAAGTCAAACTTAATTTAATTTGAATTTAAATTGGACAACTTATCAAATAAGTCAATTAGATAACTTAGAGAGCAAGCAACTGAATCCTAGAGGGATTCATATTGTGCTGGGCGTGTACACCATGTGGACACCTTCACATGTGTGTTCTAAAATCAAAATTTAAATAACCACATTATTTTTAATTTATAATTAATTCTCAATTATTATTCTTGAGCGTTTTATTTAGAATTTCATAATTCTAAAATTCTCATTTTGCCTTTAATGTCTCGTAGGATTACAAGGATGACACTGAGACTATGGACCTATAATTCCGAGCTCCAATAAAATTAATAATTAATAAAAACTCTTTAATTAATTAATTAATTCTATTAATTTCAAAAGTTACTCCACTATAAACTTAGAATTGCACTCTCGTAATTGTAGATATAAATTACTTCTAAACTGTAAAGTGTCTATTTGATATAGTCATTACATATAGATCAATCCTCCATAAATAATTCATATTGGAACTAAGTGAAATCCGTTAACCTCTTTAATTACATTTGTATCCTTGTGTATCATTGATTCTCTAATGGGCAGGGATTCATTAAACAAATTTATGAATTGAAGCTCCTACTAGTCCAAGTACCGAATCAATCCTCAAGAGAATAATTTATCTGCTTCTTTCTTAAGAATGAATGGATTCCATCTCGCGTATTAACATTCTTAGCTACTCACTTCATCATCTCTCTAAAATACAAGGAATAGAATTCAACATCTCAAAATCTATACCGAGTAAATAAAAAAAAATACAAATCCATAAATATGAATCTGCTAATAACTCAGGATTAAAACCATTCTATATATAACTATCGGTATACTCAATTAGAATTTCTATACAATGAAAATTATCAGAAATTCATATTATGTATGTGTCCCGGTTCCACACAATCTCATTATGTGTAATACATTGATTCAATATCTCGTCATATTAATAGTGCGGATAACACAATTCTATTATAAATGAGAATAACATGTATTAGTAATGTTTTAATTAAAGATTTTGAACTTTAATAAAATTCATTACCAACATCGTTTTGATTATTATCCTTAAATATTATCCTCTCGCATATAACACTTGTATTAATATTTAATGTCACATAAATAATCACAAAATTTTCAGTAATATTCATAAAATATTCATAAAATATTCAACAATATATGCACATAAAATAATGAATAAAATATTTTATTAAATTATTAATAATTATCCTATTACATCTCATACTTTTAAGACACCATTTTCAACACTTTATTTATTTATATTTGCATAGGCAAGTCATATATTCGTGTGTTTTCTTCTACTTTTGTGATCAGTTCATAACAACTTAACCATTCTCCTAAATTGCATCTATAATTTAAAAAATCAAATTGTCAATGATCAGTAGTTGGTCAAATGGGATGTGATAAGATGTAGTAAAACCGGATGATTTTGAGAAGCATTATATATATACATATATATATATATATATATCATATATAATCATTCTACATTCTCTCTCATATTTATTTACCAAAATAAATTGTCTATCCTATTTGGTGCAATAAACAGGAGAAAGGCCATATGCCCATCAATAGTGTCTTACCAGTTGCCAATCGTTTTTCATTGGGAATTTGGTGACTCTTTAATAATAAGCATTTTGAACAGCCCGTGATTTGGATGTATCTAAGACGTTGGAAAAATCCCAACAAAGAGACATTTGCACCAAAAATGATCAGAAGTAAGTACATAAAATATTTATTTATGATTTTCAATTTTAAAAAATTATACTTTTTTCATAATATAATAATTCTGTCTATTTTAGAAATATTAATTAATTGTAATACGTACCCATTCACCTTTTTGTATATTTTGATAGCAACCATGCATTATTTTTATAAAGTTGCAATCTTCAATCTATTGATCATATTATACATAAAAATCTGATATTTTAAAATTTGTGTTCTTATTTTATTATCATAAAGTTGTAATTTTATTGTAATGACCATAATTGTATATATATTGTACACAAACATCTAACCTTGTTCAAATTTTTATCTTATTTCATTATTAGAAAGTTGCAATCTTTATATTCCATTTGTTGATTATTATAGAGTATTTGTTGTCTATTTTGTTAATTATATGATTATCAGAATCATAAAGTTGCGATCTTTATGATAATGGATATACTTGCATATTATACATAACCATTATCAACCTTTTTACTTTTTAGCTTGTTTTAATATCAATACATAGTTGCAGTCTTTCTTGTAACTACCCGTAGTTGCAAATTATACACATAAATATGTCATTTTTAAATTTTTTATCTTATATTATGATCATAAATTTCCTGCGTTTATAAAATTGAAATTAAGGATAGTAGTGTGAAATTGTAGACATTTGTGTCATTAACCCAAATTATTGTCTATTGAAAAATTTGATGGTAAATTTTTTAATAGAATATTGTATCTATAATACTTGGTACAAATAATAGTTATTTTTTCGTTTTTTTCAAAAACATTAACTATTATAATTACTACATGTTATTATCGCCCCTCTAACTTAACTGATCTAAATGACAATGACACAAAATAGTAATCAAACTACATTATGAAAAAGTTAACCAAAATTTATACATGAACGTGAACCGCACCGTAGTGTAATTCCATACAAATATATAAGTGGCTCTTGTTTAGCATTATATGTCGTGACATTTGGACAGTATTATTAGGTACATAAATTTGACACAATATTGTACATGCAAACTGAAAGTTGAGGCATGTTTTAACAGGGAATTTGTCAAATCTGACATTGTCATGTGTCTTGTACTTATTTCACACTTTGATGCGGCACTTATCATATGGTGCACCGCATTGTCTTCCAACATTTACGTCTTAACAATTAGGGAATATAATATTGCTATTGGTTATTATGTTTTTTTTTTAAATTTAATCATTACGCCATTTACATTTTAAATTATATTAAAATTAAAAATTTACGTTTATAACATTAAAAACTTAATAATTAAATAACATTATATATTAGAACACAAATAAAAAAAGCATATCAAATATATTTTTATCACACTTTTTAATACTAAATTTGTACAATTATCACACTTTTTAATGCTAATTCTATAATTGACAATAATTTTTGTATCAGAGATGGTCTAAAACGGAACAAAAAATAGAGCCTTTTGATTTTAAGGGAAAAAAAAAGAGAGAAAGAGGGAAATAGGTCAAGATTTGAGATGAATTAAAATTAATAGGTCAATAGTTTACATAAGTTAATAAATAGGCTAAATTAATGTTTTCGTCCATAACTTGTCTGGTTATGAACCATAACTTGACAAGTTTGTCTATAACTTATTTAATTATGAACCATAACTTGATAAGTTATGACTTATTAATTTCTATAACTAAAAATTGACATATATACTTTTTTAAACTTTTCATATTGACTTATTTTTTACTATTTTTCAAAAAAAAAAAAAAAAAAGAGTTTGCCGGCCCACCTATTTTTTTCCAAGAAGAAACACTTTTACGTGTCAAACACAGCGCTAGCATTTTCGTCTCGACAAGACAAAGGCATCGGTTTTCTTCTTTGAAGATTTTCGTCGAACAGTTGGTCTGCGCGTTCCCTTTTCAATGGAGAAGAAAGAGATCACTGGCACGAGCACTGCAGCCAGCGATGACCCATCACCTCCTCCCCACAAGCTTCTGCTCTCCTGCCCTTCTGGTCTTTCCCGATCGCAGGTCCTCATCCAGATCATTCTCATATGTTCGCTTTATTCAATTGGTTATAATGATTTATATGTTTTCTTTTTTTTCTTGACTATGGTTTTGATCATGTGATGATCCTGTTTCTGTTTTTTTGGTGCAAAAGCTTTCAGTGGTTTTCGATGAATCATACGATCGGATTCCTCACCCAGACATCAACTTGGAGAACTCTATTTCTGAAGTGAGTTTTTAATGTTAATTTCCTTAGCAGAACATTGCAATACACAACGGTGATAATGATAGCATTACTACAAGAACTTTTGTTTGATGTTATAACATTAATTTTATTTTCAATGGCTTTAGATATGGGATCAAAGGATTCAGAGAAACTCGTCGTTGTACAACGGGAAAAAATTCCGGGTATGCGAACCTCCAACTGATACTAAGCTTTTGCGAACTATTAAGCTATCCTTGAGCTATTCTGGGCTTGTTCATTTACACCCAAACTCAACAAAAGTTTAAACTCAAGTTACAACTTTATTTAAGTTCACGTTCTTTTATAAAATTTGAGTTTGAATTTGAGTTTTAACTTGAGTTTGGGGTTAAAATCTGAGTTTAAGTTCTCCCTTTAACTTAAGTTCTTAAACTCAAACTCAAGTTCTTAAACTCAAACTCAAGTTAATGAATAATATTATTTTTATTATTAAAAAACGTCATAACTTTTTCGTTTTAATTCTGACTGAAATGATTTTTTTCTATGCGTTCACAACAAAGAGACGAATAAAACTCCACTCATATATCCTATTAAAATTTTTCATCACTATTGAGTTTTTATTAAAATACTATTCAAATACAAATTCAAGTTTTGACCCACCCAAACACAAACTCAAATAGATTCTCAATTTAAACCATAACTCAAAATGTGCACATCTAAACACAAATTCAAATTAGAGTTTCAACTCAAATACACCTTAACTCAAATCAAGATCTGAACTCAAGTCACCTAAATTCAAAAAATTTGTCTTTAATTTTGCCTAAATTTTTATGGTCTTTTTGTTATGTGCTAATTAACTATTGTATTGTCTACTTCCCTACCAAATGCCGCTATTCATTATACTTTGATGCAAGAATTATGGAATGTTGTTGTGCTTAATGCATTAAAATTTGTAAGAATGAGTTGGTTGGTGATCGAATATAGGGATTTCACTGGTGCAAGTTTATACTTTACACTATGGCTTCCTCTAGTTCTACTATAAAGTGATAAGTTATTTCCTGCATGTTTTAGAGTCTGTTTGAATTTCATGTGTTTTTAGACCTCATAGTCTTTCTGTTGATGATCTTACAGTATGCAGGATATGCATTGGCTGAAGGAGGTGGATCTAACAAAGAGTCTCATGTATGCCTCCACCTTGGTCTGACTGATTATAGGTTGCTCTCTCTCTGTGTCTCTCTCTTCACTCATAGAGTTGATCTTGATGTGGTTGCTGGTGTAATTTTTTTTTCCCCTTTCTAAGTCAGCAAATGCATGATTTTGCGCTATACAATTTGGTTGTGATTTGATTTGATTAACTAGCATCTGTGTTCCAATTGCTAGACAGGACTTTTGTTGGGACAAACTTGAATCCTTTGTGGGAAAAGTTCCTGGTTACTTCAGAAGGTATACCTGTATGCAATACGAATCAAAATATGCATTGTCAGTAGCTTCTCTGATTCTTTGTAGTTTTCTTACTAATATACCGAAAAGTGATAAATTTTCCATGCCTATCAATCTTGGATTCTTTTTTTTTTTTTTTTTTTTTTAGAATCTTAAGCCATTTCTAAGGGATTCATGACATAGCTGCATATTACAAGTCCAACTCCAAAATATGAAGTCTGAAGTCATTTGCTGGAATTACTAATCCTTTAGCCAAAAAATAAAAAATGAAGATGAAATGGATCACACCTCTAGCTCTAGGTAATATATGTTTTGGACGTACATTGTGAAAGCTAAAGTAACTTGGATGACCTACTGAAACTAATTTGCTTATTTGACTTTGATGGGAAAAATGTATTCTAATTATCTACACATTTTCTTTTCAGACAACCCTGTACGTTGTCAACACACTTCAAGTCCGTTAGGTAATGGTGCTATCATTGAGACATCTGATAGGAAGATACTTGTCTTGAAAAGAAGCAATAATGTCGGGGAATTTCCAGGACACTTTGTTTTTCCCGGGGGCCATCCGGAGGTATAAAATTTGAAAATTCAAGATTATGTATTTTCTCCGTTTTTAATACCTCTGAAGTTTTATCTATTAAGTCTTTATCTTTGATGTCCTGTTGGGTTGAGGCAGTTAGTTTTGCTATGCTTAATACCTCTGAAGTTTTATCTATTAAGTTTTTATCTTTGATGTCCTGTTGGGTTGAGGCAGTTAGTTTTGCTATGCAAGATTCCGTTTGGTCATTTTCTTTTAGGTGCATTTCTATGCCTAGAAACATGTCGAGGCAGGCCCAGCACATATTATTTATTTGAACTCTATGATTAGCAGCCACATGCTTTTTTCTGGTCTTCTTTCATTCATTTGCAGAGCGATAATTCCTGGCTTACTTTTGATTAATAATATCTCATTCTTTGGTGATCGACAGCCGGAAGAAGTGGGTTTAGCATCCCATCAAGATGCAAAGAACTTGATAGATTCTGACGTTAATAACAGGAAGGTTTCTCAAGAGATGTTTGACAGCATTCTTCGTGAAGTTGTCGAAGAAACTGGAGTGCCTGCTAGATTCCTTGTAAGTTATATAGGGCACGTTTAGCTTCTCGGGTAAAAATTCCTTTTCTTTTCTTCGCGTCCTCCTTAGTTTTCTTTGTACTATCTACATTACTTTATCTTGCTGCAAAGACATGGCTATGTCAGCCTTTAGTTTTGATCGTCTTTCTTGTTCTTTTTGGATAATTTGGATCATCAACATGTGTTCCCTCCATCTTGAAGTTATATTCCTGAAAGCAACACTTCTCCTTGGTTTGACCTTTGCCTCCTCATGCAGTGCGAGCCGGTTTTCATCGGCGTATCACGCAGGGAGTTGAACGTTCGACCAACAGCATTTTTCTTCATCAAATGCACTCTTGAGTCAGAGGAGATTCAAAAATTATATTCTAATGCTCAAGATGGCTTCGAGTCCACCCATCTTTATGCAGTTTCAATGGTTTGTTTGAAAATTTTCACACATACTTCACAATTTGCAAAATTTGTCTATGTTTAGAATATGCATTCATGAGTTTCTTCCATGTATATACCTCAGACAGAATTGGAGAACATGACATCAAAAATGCCTGGCTGCCATCACGGTGGATTTGCTCTCTACAAATTGATGGTAGAAGCTCAAGAGGATATCTAATGAAAGGTCATTACTACTAGGGCCTGAAGAGCTTTAAGCAACATTTCTGAGGTTTTGAATCTCTCTACTTTGTACTGCATTAACATTTGGTACATGATGGCATCAGAAGATTCTTGGTTTCTTATTAATATTCACTTATTTGTTACCTGTCATTACAAGTGGGATCGAACCCACAACCCCCACCCGAAACCCTCCCTATGCCATTAGATCTTCTTTTGCCGTTTAATACAATAGAAATACCCAGTGTACCCATTTCAGTTAAACTACGAAGAAACCGTCTGTATTGCCTGTCTGTCTAGCTCTGCTGGTTAGGCTTTTGGGCTGAATTGCTATGTTTTTAATAGAATTATAAACTGGTCTTTAGTTTTCTAGCAAACACTTTCTCTTGACAAAATGTCAGAATTCTCATCTGTAGACAGATACAACTTATCTTTCTTGCTAAGAACGATCTTAAATTCTCGTTTCATCTTAATTGCGGTTTTGAAAATTCCAAACCGTGAACCAAGCTGCACCGCGTGGTTAAAGTACTAATTAGATCTTAAACCAAACCACAAATTAAAAAAAGGGAAAAAGACCATGTCACTCAGTGTGGTGCTAGGTTAGTGTGCTCAATTTCAAAATGCGAATAAATTATAGACTCGGTCAATACTTGATTGACCATTTTCTGTATACAGACATAGACGTTTAAAAGTTCCGAATCCAGATACAGACATATTGTAATTAATATAATGATTGCATAGCCATAGTAATTAACATAATGACTGAGATATCTGTGTTTCGACAACAAATTTACATACACAATGTGGGCTGTTTTATAATTCCTTTTCAAATTATTCTTCATATTGTAACCTGATTTAAAAACTGTTCTTTTTTTTTTTTTAAGTTGAAAACCTCTTTTAGAAAAAGCTCTTTTAAGTTAAAATGTCCCTTCAAAACCATGTCTTCAAAGGCAAATGCAAACATGTACTATACAAATCACAGCAAAACAAAAACACCCTCTTTCTGTCTCCTTCACTGCCAAATCGGATAAAGAAAAAATCATCATCAAGATCACTATTAGTAAACTCAAATCTGGTAGACCAGAGACGGTGGAGAGTATTATCAATTCTAAACCTGTAAGGTTTTAGTGGTGAGGACTTTCCCAATTTGTGGGAAAGAGTCCGGAAAGTTATGAACAACTTTTTCATCATCCGTGAGATTCATGATGCTAGCACATTCAGGAATGTTATCAATGGTTGGAAGGAAAAAAAAAAAAAAAAAACCTTGTAAACTTTTGAACCTCTTATTATAAAGAGACTACCAAGGAAACAAAGCATAGTTTTATCATCTCAGCCAAACAAGTGAAAGTAAATGACTATGCAATTAATAATAGAAAGCCATTGCATGAAATTGGTGTGACAGGGATACAGGGAAATGCCACACAGAGAGAGTCATAGTTTGGGTTTGGGATTGGGAGTGAGTAATTAGAAGTCAAAATTGAATTTCACATTAATTCCAAAAGGAGAGGAACAAATGGATCGTTGCTCTCTTGGCAATCATGGGAACACGGTTTTTGGTCTTTACAATAAATAATAAAGTTTAATTTCACAGAAATGACTGATAATTCCTGTTAGAAGAACTTCTATGATAAGCAGCAACATGCTTTTTTTTTTTTTTTTTTTCGGGACTAGTATATTTCCTGGGTTATTAATTTTCTGTTATGTAATAATTGCAAGCTTTTGTGATTGACAACCCGAAGAAGTTGTTAAAGCATGGCATAAGGATGGAAAGAACTTTATAGTTTCTGATCAACAAGAAGGTTAGTGAAGAGATTCGTGTTTGACAGCATTATCATGAAGTTGTTGAAGAAATTGATGTGCCAGCTGCAACATCGATCCCTTATAACTTATATTCTCTCAGTTAAACGAAGACATGGCTATATATTAGTTTTGCTTTTGGTCGTATATTTGTTTTTTATATATTAGTTTTGCTTTTGGTCGTATATTTGTTTTTTATATATTAGTTTTTGCTTTTGGTCGTATATTTGTTTTTTCTTCTCAGATCTTCCCCACTTTCTTCTTCTTCTTCTTCTCTTTTTTTTTTTTTTTTTTTTTTTTTTTTTTTTTTTTTTTTGGGTGGTTTTTTGTCATTATATGTGGTTCGATAAGTTGCCTACATTCATGGACTAGGAAAATAGAGAATGAATTCACAAGTAAGAAGCACTAAGAAATGGGCTCCATAAAATACACATTACAAAACACATAATCTGGTAAGTTATCCAAAACTAAAGGCAAAGAATTCCTAATATGAATATAAATACTAACAAAGTCAAAATACTAATAAAGGTAACAATGTATAAAATATTAATTTCTCTAATACTTCCTCGATTCGTCAAATTTTACTAATAAATCCAGTCTCAGTTGAGAGTTTTGTCTCGTGTACAACATAGTCATTCGCATTGGTGTTTATATCTTTATTTAGTTGAATACAATCTCATCTCAAACAAAAAAAAAAAAAAATCTAATTAGTTAAAAACTCGTGAGCTCCAAAAAAAGGTGGATCAATTAGGAAAAAAAAAAATCTTGAGCAATGAGGCAATAATAATCTTGAGCACAAAAGGAAAAAAAAATCATTTAGCATGTTTCCAAAGGCAAATGCGTGTGCAAACAAATCAACAACAAAAGAAAAACACAACAGGCAACTAGACACCAACAGCGTGGCGAGAGATGGTTTCCCTTTTTCTCCGGTCAGTTTTGAGAGAATTGATTTGCCGAAGATTTTTTTATTTAGCTGTCAAATATTGGTTTCAAAAAGAGATCACAACCGTGACTTTTTTTCCCCTATTAGGCCATCTGTGTGTGTGTGTGTGTGTGTGTGTGTGTATATAATGAACACATTATCAAATTCGGGCAAATTACTTTCTCTCACACAGATTCCTTTTCCAATTCTTTCACTCTCGCCTTAAATCTCACGGCACTTTATACTGATATTAATCTCTGCCCACTCTTCCACACGTTTTTCGACGGGTATGTGTTGATTGCGGAGTGGATTTCGTGTTGAAAACCCATTTTAAGAGCGGTGGGGTAAGCTTCCAATCTTTTTTTTTTTTTTTTCGATGTGATTTTTAAGTATTTGATGTTCTGATTATTATCTTTTTTCTTCTTCCAGAACGGCTGGCATTGTTTCTCTAAGGCGTAAGGTTATTAACTTTAATCCAAAAACTATGTTACCCAGTTTTATTGTTGTTATTTTTATAATGCATTCATTCATTTAATTTTTCAGCACTAATGTACTCGCGGATAATGTCGGAAAAGAGTATCATAAGACTATCAATCTGTGTACAGTGGCTAGTGCCAAAAAAAAAAAAAAAAAACACTGTGTACAGTGGCGACCTCCACTGCAAAACAGTGTAAAAAACACGTCGGATGGAAGCTGGTTACGGATTTAGTATTTTATTTAGGTCTCGTTCATTTCACCGATTCGAGTTTTTAATTTTAGGTTTCTACAGTAAAAAGCTCTCAGAAAATGTCACATCTAACTTTTTCTACTACAGTGAAAAGCTTTCAAAAAATGTCACATCTCAGCTCGAATTGAAAACTCGAATCCGCGAAGTGAATGAGGCCTTAGTTTTATTAATCAAGGGTTTACGTATGCTTCTCTTAGGAAATTTAGTACTATTAGGGTTAGGGTTAGGGTTAGGGTTAGGGTTAAGTCTCTTTTTTTGAGTGAGCTTTGGTGAGTGGTAAACTTATCTAGGCATAATCTAAAACTTTGATAAAAATAATCGGTGAGGTACCAAAAAAAATAAAATCCACTCAAGGATTTGATTGAATTTGGCGTAGAACGGTGGCTTTATTTCATGCTTTCTACCTTATAATTCAAATATTCAAATTGCTGCTGCCTAAACAAGCAGTTAGAGCTTTTAACAAACAACCCCTTTTTTTTTCTTTTTTTTTTTTTGGTAGCACATCTAGTGTCAACTGTAGTTGCTTCAGGTGCTCTTCCTGCTAAGAACAAGAATATCATATAAAAAAAAAAAAAAAAAAAAAAAAAAAAAAACAAAAAAAAAAAAAAAAAAAAAAAAACCAAGTAAAAAGCTCTCAGAAACAGTCCGGAGAAAAGCCTTGTAATGTTCTTCATGTGTTCGAAATGTTGTCTTAAAAGCATCATGTGAATGAACACGTATTTGATGGTAGTCTGATCTCAAATCCAACTTAGAAAATAAATTTGCTCTTATATGTAGCTCATCTAGTACAACTCACTAATAACAACAATAGGAAACTTGCCTTTACTTGTGACACTATTTAAAGTTCAATAATCCAAACACATTCTTCAATTAACATTATCCTTTCTTTTCACCAACAAGAACGATGAAGAAAATTGACTCATATTAGGTAGTGTAAAGTTTTGCAAAATCTTGATTCAATCACTTGGACAGCCTCTTTTGTTCCTCGAATTTGGTTGGTTCTCTTTTTTTTTCTCTCTTCCCTTTGAATGGAAATATATATATATATATATATATATATATATATACACACACACACACACACACACACACACACACACACACACATGAGCCTTTGTAAGCTTGATTGATCTGCCTCAAGGTCTTGTTCATTATACCCAAATCACAGCAAGAGAAAATCAAAGAAGATATTATTGTTCCTAGTTTAGATAAGGATTGACGTTGCAATATCTAATCTAATTTTGACAAACAATTGATTTGGAGGTATTTCGAGTTTTTTTTTTTTATAGCAACTGCCTTTCTCATTGGGGAGTAGACTGTTGGCAATCATAGGATACACGTTTTTATGGCCATTACTATAGTTTAAGTTGAAAAAATATCTCAATAGAATGTTTTTTCAATGTTTTTTTTTTTTATAGGCCTTCTCTATGTTTAATCATCAATGTGAAAGGAGCAATCGTAAAAAGTTTAATTTGACCAAATATAGTGATTGACAAATAAAATCTGGTAAGGGGAGATATAACAGTTGATTTGAGCTTTCTTAATCATATTGTACTTAATTTTATTGGTGACCATATTCCTTGTCATTAATTAGTCGTAATATAATGTGTGGTAGAAAAAGAAATATTTCTGCAAAGTTTCCCATGGAGCAATATTGGCAATCCAAGTGAAAAGCACCCAATTCAAGATAAGAATTGGTGGAGTCAATGAAAGCAAAACTATTGAAAAGAGGCATAATAGTGATGATACCTTGAATTATACATATGTCATGATTATTATCATATGCTAATCCAATGACATGATTATATATCCCATCACTAATATTTATTCATGTAGTTTCTCATCCATTTTGCGTGATGTATTTTCATGGGACCGCGTTCTATATATTGACTTTATTGGGCATTTATTATTAATTGTCCGTTATAG